AAGAACAGTTGTCCAACTGACATTCTGGATCTGTCTGTAACATAATAGTTAAAGAATGTGGTGTCATTTAAGGAGACACTATAATTTCCTGTACTGAATGCAGAGTATTAAAATTTGCTGTAATATTATTTTTTCTAACATTTCTAAATGCATAAATCATCACCAAACGTACACAAAAGACTTGGTTCAAAATATTTAGGTGTATATTTTATTATTGACTATTTATGGACAAGATGATGAGGCTCCATTTTCCTATGTAAAAAATTAGAAATACCTGGACTTTGCTTGCCATGAATACAAAGTACACACGTGGAAGAGCAAAATCAATCACAACTACAGGGAAAAAATGGCATCAAACACTAGAAATCATTAACAGTTTTGGATCATAGCTCTCTGCAAGAATTTGATGAACCCTGTGGGCTTTTCCTCTAAATGCACATAGTACATGTACACAAAATGTACCTACAGACTTAGTGCCTGACCTTTTACCTCAGCCCAAAAACTTCTAACCAGGAGAAAAATCCCATTATAATATTGCATTGAGGAGTCACTAGACATGTACTTTGGCCTCTAAGACACTGGCACAATGACTTATACATAAAGTATTAATAGTCCTGTGAAAAAAAATAAAAGAATACCAGTATTACTTATGAAAAAGTTCTCCAAAAGGGAAATTGAAATAAGAGTATGGAAGAGTAACACCCTAGCACGTGGGGTCCAGGCTATTTTAGACATGAGGATTGAGTAATGCTGAGAAAGCTGACATGTCAAAACCTCAACTTTTAAAACAGGTGTATTTTTAGCTTCTTTCGCAGGCTTTGGTTACATAAGTGCTTAATCGTTTGGTAAAACCGAATGTCAAGTTTATATATAAAAAAACATAAAGTTTCAATATAATATCTAAAGTATTTCATGTGATGGAAAATAAGAATTAAAAATACATGTTACTTATTAGCTGAATCATAGGCAGCAGCTTCTTAAAGTGACATTTTAATGTGATGATACTGCCCATACAGGAGGACCACAAGGCAGGAGGCTGCATGGCAGAGCAGAAATGGCACTCACTGTGTCAAGGCTCTTCCTTCTGCTCCTAGAACTGCAACTGATTACCCGTGTGACTCCAGTCAAGGCATTACCTTTGGGGATCCCAATTTTTAAAGCCTATGAAGTTAAAGGAATGAACTATATGACCTTTAAAACTGCTAATTTTTTTATTCTAAAGTTATCTAAGAGTACATCAAAAGTAAACAAGAGTCAGGGCCAATTAGTGGAGAATAATTAAAATCACAAGTAGTTTTCATTAGAGGATACCCCACACCAGCTCATACATGAGTGAAAATGCCTCAGGAAGGCTGCTGCCACAGAGATTTTGGTCCTTCCGAGTCATTGCGGTAGCCAGCCTCCAGGAGGACTCCCAGTAATCTCACTTTCTGTTATGCACATCCTTACATAGCCTCCTCTCACAGTGCACCAGGGTTGTCACTGTGACCAACTATAGAGCAAAAATGATGTTATTTTCAAGACTGGATTATAAACGACAAAGTCTTTGGCTTGGGTGCCTACTCTCCCTCGCTCTTGATTTCTTGTTTTGGGGAAAGCATGCTGCTGTCACGTGATGAGCATGCTGTGGCTTCCGGCCACCAGCAAGCAAGGAACTGAAGAGGACCAACAAGCATATGAGTCAGCCTAGAAAGAGATTCACTACCTCAGCTGAGCCTCGAGATGACTACAACACCTTGAACCCCACCTGATGGGAGACCCTGAGCCCAAAACACACAGCTGAGCAATTCCTAGATTCCTGACCCTCAGAAACGCTGATAGAGTAAATATTTCTTGTTTTAACCTAATAGGTTTTGGGGTAATTTGCTACACAGCAATAGGTAACTGATACAGTCATCTTTTAGTCTTTTATTTTTTTAGCCTCTTGGACCCTATAAGTTATTGGTCCAGATTTACTTAGTTCTTCTTTCACCCTGTCTCTTACATATAATTTTTTCATTTCCTCTGCAACCAGCCAGATTTGGGTCCCTGTATCTTACTATTGCAAATATCACAAAGTCTACACGCTATATCTCTAAGTCAAGAATCCCAAATTCAGGCCGGGTGCAGTGGCTCACGCCTGTAATCCCACTTTGGGAAGCCAAGGTAGGAGGATCACGAGGTCAAGAGATCGAGACCATCCTGGCCAACATGGTGAAACCCTGTCTCTACTAAAAGTACAAAAAATTAGCTGGGTGAGGCGGTGTGTGCCTGTAGTCCCAGCTACTCAGGAAGCTGAGGCAGGAGAATTGCTTGAAACTGGAAAACAGAAGTTGCAGTGAGCTGGGATCACGCCTCTTTACTCCAGCCTGGCAATAGAGTGAGACTCTGTTCAAAAAAAAAAAAGAATCCCCAATTCAAATATATATGAGATGTTCAGGCAATGTCAAGTGGACTAAGCATAAGGTAATGGGAGGCTGAAGACAGTGGTGAATATCAGGATAAATGTGCCTTTTTAGGGTACTATCTTCTGCTCAAAACAAACCAACTGCTGCCATGTGAGTATGTGAGCCCAGCACTGCCAGCTCACCTGCTTTTCCACGAAAACCCTAAACTCTACTTTTATGATATTTATCAATTTTTTAATATTGGCTTAAAATTGTTACAGTGTGTAGAACAAAACATATCTACTGTCTGCACTCAGTCTGTGAGCCACCAATTTCCAGCCTCTACCCTAGATCAATCCTTCTAGAATTTCTCTCAGGCCAGGCACAGTGGCTCATGCCTGCAACCCCAGCACTTTGGGAGGCTGAGGCAGGTGGATCATTTGAGGTCAGGAGTTCACGACCACGTTGGCCAACATGGTGAGACACTGTCTCTAATAAAAATACAAAAAATAGCCAGGTGTGGTGGCATGCACCTATAATCCCTGCTACTTGGGAAGCTGAGGCAGGAGAATCGCTTGAGCCAGAAGGTGGAGGTTCCAGTGAGCTGAGACGGTGCCACTGCACTCCAGCCTGGGCAACAGAGTGAGACTCTGTCTCAAAAAGAAAAAAAATAGAATTCATATGACCCAAACTTACCTCTTCAGCTTCACAGTCTCTATTAAAATGTTCTGTTACAGCAGACAGGCCTATCCAACATTCTAAAAAGTCATTTCCCACCCGCAATGTTCCAGTCAACTTGCCCCATCCATGCCCTACCCATAGCTTAAAACCAAAGCAAATATTACTATCCACAAAATTTTAGGCTGCTTTGTTGATTTAACCTTGCATATCATAACATAACATTGGATTATAATCCAAAGTATAAAAATCCACAAGTCCATATTTACATACATAAGTGATTGAATGAATTTAAAAAATAGAGAAGACAGAAGTTTCCTTAACACAAGAATCCAAATAATTTATATAGATATTCTCCTCTCAAGGATGTGAAGCTTAATTCCCCATCCCCCAAGTGTGGGCTGCACTTAGTGCTTTGCTTCCAAAGAATAATGTAAGTAAGGATGGGGGAGGAAAGAAACCTGGCAAACTTTACCACAGTCAGGTAATCAAGGATAATAACATCACAGCGACAAGTCATGTAGGTGGCACCTACCCTTGATAAGATATGTGAATTGTATAATTCTATCAAGACAGTTGAAGGTGAGCAAAAAGAAAAAACAAACAAAAAAACAAAAAAAAATAATAATAAAATGAAATTTAAAAAGATATATGAATTGATACGTTAATAATGTCACTTCACCTCTCTGGTCTTCCTTGCAAAAACCCACAATCTCAATCTAACCATAGGAAAAACATCAGATAAACCCAAATTGAAGGACATTCTGCAAACTACCTGACCACTACTCCTCAAAACTGTCAAGATCAGCCAGGTGCGGTGGCTCACGCCTGTAGTCTCAGCACTTTGGGAGGCCGAGGCAGGCAGATCACGAGGTCAGGAGTTTGAGACCAGCCTGTCCAATATGGCGAAACCCCGTAAATAGTAAAAAATACGAAAATTAGCCAGGCATGGTAGTGCACACCTGTAGTCCCAGCTGCTCAGGAGGCTGAGTCAGGAGAATTGCTTGAATCTGGGTGGCAAGGTTGCAGTGAGCTGAGATCATGTCACTGTACTCCAGCCTGGGCGACAGAGTGAGACTCTGTCTCAAAGCCACCCCCCATCCTCCCATCCCCCGGCAAGATCATCACAAACAAGGAAAGTCTAAGAAAATGTCACAGACCAGAGAAAACTAGAGACATGACAGTGAAATGTAATGTGGTATCCTGGATAGGATGTCAGAAGAAAAAAAAAAAGGACATTAGGGAAAAACTCAAATCAAGTATGGAATTCAGTTAAAGATAATGTACCAACATCGGTGCATTAGTTATGATATATGTACATACTAATTTAAGTTGCTAACAACAGGAAAAATTGGACAGAGTGTTCAGGAACTATCTGTAATATTTTTGCAACGTTTCTGTTGCAAAGATCTTAAATCTAACCTGAATTTAAATCCATTACTATTTAATACTATTCTAAAATCTAAACTATTCTAAAATTAAAAGGTTATTAAAATTTTTTTAATTCCAAAAGGATCACATATTTTGAAAACGTTCCTGTGTGAAAAACAGGACTTCAGACTTATTAAGATTCATAATAAAAAATATTTTTAAAAAGGCAAACTCTACATCGAAATTATTTATTTTTATTTTGTAAATATCTTTAAAAAATGTCTTGGCACTAAACTACCTTCATCATATCCAGAGATTTTATTTTGAATAGCATTACAAAAGCAAATTGTTTGTACATCACAATCAAATCGAGACTTGCATCTCACCAACATGCCAGGGAGAAAAGTGATTTTTAAGGAGACAGACATTGTGACAGCTTAATCTGAAATGTTAACAATTACAGTAATGGAATACACACACGAATACTGTTTGGTCATCCTAACAGGGCCCGTTATGTTTTATAGATTAACTGGCTAGAAAATAAGAATGAGTAATTTTAACTTTTCATGTAGAGATGAAAATGTTTATCTTTACTGCTGATTATTCTTTACTTGGCAGTGGCTCTTAACACTTGACTTGAATTAACCCTGTTTTATCTATGGAAGTACAAGACATTTATGTTTAAGGAGAACCAACAAATAGGAAACCCTATTTCTGAACAAACTCTGAATCAACTGAGAAGTGAGATAAAATAGATAAGAGAAGTAAGTTAGATAGATGGATAAGAGAAATACAAAGGCAAATGAAGGAGCAAAACATTACTTCACTACCAACATAACCTAGCTTAGAGAATATTACTTACTATAGGCGATAGTTGGTTTCTAAACACTAAGCCCCATAATTGAAGACTTACCCTCCCAGTCACAGGCAGTTCAGTGTCATCCAAGTGGGACGGCCTGACCCTGGAAAACTTAAAGCATGATGAAACAGTCTAAATCACAGGTAGCTTGCTCATAAAAGAAAGAGACAAAAGTGGGTTATCCAATAAACCCACTTTCTAATTTCAGACTCACCAATCAGGTTCAGTCACTTCTAAAGGAACACATAAGTATTACCCTAATGGGGTCTCTTTCATATGAAGTCAATCATTACAGACAGGAAAGAAGCATTTCCCCCATAGGATTCCTTTTTTTTTTTTTTTTTTTTTTTTTTTGAGACGTAGTTTGGCTCTTGTTGCCCAGGCTGGGGTGAAATGGCATGATCTTGGCTCACTGCAACCTCCACCTTCCCGGTTCAAGTGATTCTCCGCCTCAGCCTCCTGAGCAGCTGGAATTAACAGGCATGTGCCACTAGACCTGGCTAATTTTGTATTTTTAGTAGAGATGGAGTTTCTCCAGGTTGGTCAGGATGGTCTCGAACTTCCAACCTCAGGTGATTTGCCCACCTTGGCCTCCCAAAATGCTGGGATTACAGGAATGAGCCATCACCACCGGCCGGATTTTCAATTAAGACAGGGTTGGCCGGGCGTGGTAGCTCATGCCTGTAATCCCAGCACTTGGGGAGTCCAAGGCATGCAGATCACGAGGTCGAGAGATCAAGGCCATCCTGGTCAACGTGGTGAAACCCCGTCTCTACTAAAAATACAAAAATTAGCTGGGCATGGTAGCACACGCCTGTAGTCCCAGCTACTTGGGAGGCTGAGGCAGGAGAATTGCTTGAACCCAGGAGGTGGAGGTTGTGGTGAGCCGAGATCGTGTCACTATACTCTAGCCTGGTGCCTGGCGATGGAACATGACTCTATCTAAAAGAAAAAAGACAGAGTCTTGCTTTGTTGCCCAGGCCGGTGTGCAGTGGCATGATCACAGCTCTCTGTCTTGACCCAAGCCATCCTCCCACCTCACTTCCCAAGTAGCTGGGACTACAGGTGCATGCCACCACACCTGGCTAATTTGGGGGTGTTTTTGTTTTTCATTTTGGAGTTTCACCATGTTGCCCATGCTGGTCTCGAACTCCAGAGCTCAAGCCATTCACCCCCCTTGGCCTCCCAAAGTGCTGCAATCACAGGCATGAGCCACTGCGCCCTGCCTATAAGGAATATTTTTAAATGCCAAAGGTCTAAGAAAACTTAAATGTGAATATTCCTTGGTTCAGTTATCCACTATTACAAATTTTTTATATAATGCGTAAGCACAAGGATTGAGTAAATCCAAGGAGTGCTTCTACTAGCATAGCTCTTTAAGTCAGCAGCATAAATGAAATCCAGGAATTGGGAGCCTTTCATTCATCTCTGTCTCCCTAAGCAACACCATGACAGGATAAAAATAAATCAAGGCCAGGCGCACTGGCTCACACCTATAATCCCAGCACTTTGGGAGGCCGAGGTGCGCAAATCATGAGGTCAGAAGTTCGAGACAAGCCTAACCAACATGGTGAAATCCCGTCTCTACTAGAAATACAAAAATGACCTGGGTGTGGTGGCATGCTCCTGCAATCCCAGCTACTCAGGAGGCTGAGGCAGGAGAATCGTTTGAACCCAGGAGGCAGAGGTTGTGGTGAGCTGAGATCGTGCTACTGCATTCCAGCTTGGGCAACAGGGAGAGACTCCATCTCAAAAAAAAAAAAAAAATCCAAATTGTCCAGGTTATCATGGTACAGAATTGAGGCAGAAATATTACAAGAGGATTACAGGTCCAAGGCCCTACCAGTGCCCAGAGTCTTCCTCATTTTTGATCTTGTTTATAACTGTTTCCTTACACTTGAGGGAAGCTGAGCAGGTATAGGCTCTATCTATATTCACACATCAGTATCATCATTCTATGAAACTATCATTGTATTATAGTTAACTCTCTGAGGAGACATCTTCATGTCCCAGCACCTAACTGAGAAGCTGCTAGTAATGAGTAAAACTATGTGTGTTAGTGTGTGCACGCACATATGTGCACATATGTGTCTTTAATTTATGGGGGGAAAGAAAAACAGTCTATTTCCAGCAATGATCCATTCCTTCATCTCCAAGTCTTGAATTGGTACAAGATGTAGTCTTTATTGCTTTCAGGTTCACCTATTTCTTAGACATCCCTGTATTTGATAGATGTGTGTTTGTTCTACTAGCAGATAGTAAGCCTGCATTTTTCAGAATTGAACACTAATCTTGTCTGCCTATTTATAAGGTTTGATTTTCTGATCACCTCATGACAACAATACCCTAAGACCTACTTGCTCTTTTCTATGTGTTTTTTATCACCAAGCCCTACATTTGCTGATTATTACTTCCCTTGATATCATGCTCCTAACATCCCAGTCCCAATATCTTTTGTTTTGTTTTGTTTGTTTGTTTGTTTGTTTTTGAAATGGAGTCTTGCTCTATCACCCAGGCTGGAATGCAGTGGCATGATCTAGACTCACTACAACCTCCATCTCCTGGGTTCAAGTGATTTTCCTGCCTCAACCTCCCAAGTAGCTGGGATTACAGGGACCCGCCACCACAGCCAGCTAATTTTTGTATTTTTAGTAGAAACGGGGTTTCAAGTGTTGATCTCAAACTCCTGACCTCAAGTGATCTGCCTGCCTCGGCCTCCCAAAGTGCTGGGATTACAGGTATGAGCCACCGCGCCCAGCCCCAGTAACTTTTTAACCCAAGATGAACTTAGGAAGTGCCAAGTAAAGGATACTGAGAGTCCATCAATGAGGGGATAGAAAATCATCCATCAACTGAATGTGGGCCATGTGGTTCCTTTTTAAAATTCATGCATCGCATACTCTGAACCAAGGTAATAGCAATAAATAATATTCACTGGATTATTAGTCACCATGTGCCAGGTACTGTTACAACAAATTTACATGCAGCAAATAATTTCATCTCACAATAACCCTACAAAGTAGGTACAATCATTGTTCCCATTTTAAACATGAGGAACTGGAGGCACAAAAAATGGTCAATATATCAGAGGATGAGAGAACTGAGAACCAATGAGGGAATGGGAATTCTTAACGCTCTCTTCAGAGCATGAGACAGTAGGATGGACTCTGCATACTGAGCACGTATAGTGAAGTGCACTACAATGGAATGAATAATATTCTATTCACAAAAAATAAGGATGTGTCTATTTATTATCCTCTCTTCTCTTATTTCAGATAAGTAGAGTGAAGCTCAGAGAGATGAAGTAATTCAGCCAGGACCACTCAAACAGAAACTTGGCTTCACTTAGAGGTACAGGATTGAGTCCAACAAACTAGACTAAATAGTCTACATTCCTAGACACTATACAAAATGATACAAAATAGCTTGAAGTATTTTATGGGCTGAAGTACTTCAACAGCTAAGACAGGCTGCAATTCTCACCAGGGTTGGCATGGACAAATATGAAATTGTAACACAAACCACAAAAGATAATATATAGACTTCTATCCTTCGGAATTAATATCAAAACTTACTGAGAAGTACAGTAACCATAGTTTAGTAATTAATCATTATGTTTGAGTGATTAATAACCAATTAAATGCCAAACTTTGTTTTAAAACAACCATGGTTATTAGATTCTAACATGAAATTGTTTAATAACTTCGTCTATGAAAGGAAGTACTATAATGTTAACTTGATTAAAGGAATATTAGGTAAGAAAAATGCAACCTCATGAAGTACATATTCTCTTAAAAATCAGACTCTGAAAACATTTAAATTTAATTATAACAAGTATAAAAAGTATTAAGGTTTATTTATTTATTTGTTTATTTTTGATACAGAGTCTTGCTCTGTCACTCAGGCTGGAGCACAGTGGCAAAATCTTGTCTCACTGCAGCCTCCACCTCCCAAGTTCAAGCAATCCTCCAACCTCAGCCTCCGAGCAGCTGGGACTATAGGTGTGCACCACCACACCCAACTAATTTTTGTATTTTTTTTTAGTAGAGTTGGGGTTTCACCACGTTGGTCAGGCTGGTCTCAAACTCCTGAACTCAAGTGATCTGCTGACCTGAACCTCCCAAAGTGCATGGATTACAGATGTGAGCCACCTCGCCCAGCCTAAGTATTAAGTTTTTTATCATGAAGTACTTTGAAGATCAAAAGCTTATAAAATGCCAAATTATATAAGCAACAAAATTATGTAAGTAACAAAAATAGCACAATTAAGAGAAACATTTTGGTACAGTGGCTATGGCATAATACGTAAAGTTAAGAAATGAGTTCTGTTATTCATACACGCAAGCTACTTTTTTTCCAAATATTAAAAGTCTAGATATTTTTTAATATCAAGATATATTTCTGCAATACTCTATTCCAATGAATTGACAAATACACCATAATCTATTTAATTCTCCAGTACTGAACAATTATGATTGCTTCCAACTTTTTGCTATTACTACAAATAGTACTGTGAATCATTTGTTAAACTTTTATACGCATACTTATATTAAACTTATTAAGGTGTTATTTTTTTTTTTTTTTTTTGAGATGGAGTCTTGCTCTGTCACCAGGCTGGAATGCAGTAGCACCATCTTGGCTCACTGCAACCTCAGACTCCTGGATTCAAGTGATTCTCCTGCCTCAGCCTCCCCAGCAGCTAGGACTACAAGTGCCTGTCACCATGCCCAGCTAATTTATGTATTTTTAGTAGAGACAGGGTTTCACCATGTTGGCCAGGATGGTCTTGATTTCCTGACCTTGTGATCTGCCCACCTCAGCCTCCCAAAGTGCTGGGATTACAGGCGTGACCCACTGTACCCCCTCAATTTGTTAAACTTTTGTACACATGCTTCCTTATAATTCCTGAAAGTGGAATTTCGGAGTCAATCTGAATCTGTACCTTGTCCTGAAGAAAGGCTATATGATTTTTAGTCTTAGTAGAAACATTGTTTTAAACGGTACAATATACAATACATACATGGTATTGATTCCTAAAATCCTTGCTCGTGTTAAAAAAAATACATGAATAATTTTTAAATATTTGTATTTTATAACCATTAATATATAGTGGTACAGTGGTTCACACCTATAATCCCAGCACTTTGGAAGGCCAAGGATGGAGAATCACTTGAGACTAGCCTGGGCAACATAGTCAGACCCTGTTTCTATAAAAACCAAATTTTTACATTAGCCAGGCATTGTCATGCACACTTGTATCCACACTATGTGGGAGGCTGAAGAAAGAGGATCACTTGAGCCCAGGAGTTCAAGGTGACAGTGAGCTACAGTCGCACTACTGCACTCCAACCTGGGCAATGCAGTGAAACCCTGCCCCTAAATAAATAAATAAAATTGAAAATAAAAAATATATAGTTATATTTGCATATGTACATACTTCTATTATACAAATGATATCTTTTAAAATTCTGTGCTAATTTTTATATTTTAGTAAAACAATCATAACATAAAACATACTATCTTAACCATTTCTAAATATAGTTTATTAGCATTAAGTATATTTATAATACTCACATTATTATGCAGTCAATCTCTAGATGTTTTGCATCTTGTAAAACTAAAACTCCATACTCATTAAACAACAACTCTCAATTTCCTTCTCCCCTAACCCCTGGGAATTACCACTTTAACTTTCTGCTTCTATGAATATGACTACTCTAGATACTTCATATAAGTGGAATCATACAATATTTGTCTTTTTGTGACTGGCTTATTTCACTTAGCATAATGTCCTCAAGGTTCATCCACACTGTACCATGTGTCCAAATTCCCTTCCTTTTATAAGGCGGAAGACACTCCATTGTATGTACATATGACATTTTGTTTTCCATTCACCCATCAGTGGACACTTAGCTTCCACCCATTGGCCATTGTAAATAATGCTGCTATGTACAATATCTGTGCTTATTTACAAATATTCACACATAGCAGGAACTCTTCCTAGTCTGACCTCATGAGATTTCAGACTCTAGCCTCTACCATGGAGGCTCAGCAATCCACCTTCAGATAAGGATACCCTCATTTCTCTTCATGAATAGACTGCTCCCTGGTTTGCAGGTCATCCTTCTCCATTTGTTACTCTTCCTGGACATGCTTTCCTCTGCTGACACTGGGGACTTTCCCCTTATTTCTCTAGAGCTGGAATTTCTGTCTTGTTAGAAAGCAAAATATATATATATATTTTTTTTTAACTGTCCAATCTATGATTTCTCATTTATATAA